ACACTGACACCATATACAGTAGAACCTCAGTTTTCGTTTGCCCTGGTTTTCATCGAATTTGGTTTTCGACGACATTTTTTCGTCAAAATTTTGTCCCAGATTTCGTTCATCACCTCGGTTTTCATTGGTCTGCCGTACCAAACGTGTCCGCCTGCCCATGCCCACACAAAGCATCCCATGCGTTCTGAGTCAGTCCAGCTTTGTTTCTCATCAAGTGAGCATTGCCCTACGCGTTTATCCAAAACATTTCGCAATAATCCATTGTTTTTTGTGCTTATTTATTGAATACAACTGCTAAATAAGTCACCATGGGTCGTTGGGGAAGTCCATGGGGTTGGACGTGAGTGGCCAGGATGTGGAAGAGTTGGTGGACGACCACAGGGAAGAGCTAACCAATGAAGAGCTGCAACACCTTTAACTGGAACAGCAACAAATCACAGCTGAGGAAATTGCTTCAGAGGGGGAGGAAGAGAAAGGCAAGAATGTGCCTTCTTCAGCAATTAACCCTTTCAGGGTCCCCAGGCCCTCTCCCAGACTTGTTCTCAGGGTCGCCCAAATTTAAAAAAAAAAAATATATTTTTTCTTATGAAAAGACAGAGAATTGTTTCCCGATCATAATGACACCAAAAGTATGAAATTTGATGGAAAACTTACGGAATTATGCTCTTGCAAAGTTAGCGGTCTCGACAATGTTTACGCATCGGCGATTTTGCCCACTTTGAGTCCTATTTTCGGCCAATTCCAGTGTACTAGTCGACAAAAATCATAACTATTTTGCTAGAACTCCATTTTTTCTATCAAAAGAGTACAAGAAACCACCCATTTACTGATTTCAACTATCCAATACAGTGGTCAGAATTTAGCAATTTTGCCAATTTCACACAAATTTCAAAAGATGCCAATTTCCAAATAGGGTTCAGAATAAACAAGAAAGACATTCCTGGCACTAAAATAATATTTCCTCTGTTCATTAGTCACGTCCCCACGCCCCTCTTACATTCTTTTGCTTTACACTTTGAATTTTTATTCTCACAAAAAATAGAAGATTACTGTTAGGCAGACTACTGCATTAGTGTAGAAATGGTATAAATAATATCGGCACACTTGTGAAAGAATATTAGACTCACCAGTTGACGTGTATGGACACTTAGCATGATTTGTTTACTTTCAAACTTTGGTAAAAACTGAGTATTTCTGCTACTTTGAGCTCAATTTCAAGGTACTTTTCATTGTAAAACTAGTCAAAATCATCTCAATTTCTGTAATATGTCTTCCATTCTATAAAATGAGACCAGGAAAACTAGAATACAATAATAAATACCATACGAAAATACAGTGCAGAGTTGCTGTTTTAATCCAAAAACACGGTCAAAGTTTTTTTTTCTTATTACTCACAGTGTGCTGCAGGATTTTTTTTATACTGCGCACACTGACCACATAGACCCATTCTTTCATATGTAGGTCTACCAGATTTGAGGCCGCTAGAATTTAGGCGTACTAGTACGTCAAAAACCCTGGTGCGCAAGCCGTACTAGTACGGCCGAAACCCTGAAAGGGTTAAGGACATGTGTGCAAAGTGGAGTGAGTCGCAAAGTTTTGTGGAGAAATATTACCCTAACAAAGCTGTTGCAAGCCGTGTCTGCAACATGTTCAGTGACAATGCCTTGTCCCATTTTAGGCAAATCTTAAAGAGATGCCAGAAACAGACCTCTCTGGACAGATTTTTTGTGTGACAGGGGTCCAGTGCCAGTAAAGACAAAGAAGGGAAGTAACCCTGGATAGGGACTTGATACCTGAAGCCCTTATATAAGGAGGGGGATTCCCCTTCAATGAAGATAAAAGTCATATTAAATGTTCATTTATCCATTCCATTAATCTTTTATATTTATTTCTCAATTTTCTTCTTCTTATTCTTTTTAGTAATCTTTACAGGAAAAGGGGTTACTAGCCCATTGTTCCCGGCATTTTAGTTGACTTTTACAACATGCATGGCTTACGGAGGAAAGATTCTTATTCCACTTCCCCATGGATATAAAAGGAAAAGTAATAAGACCAAGAACTATTAAGATAAAATCAAAGAAAACTCAGATGAGTGTGTATAAATAAACGTGTACATGTATGTGTAGCGTGACCTAAGTGTAAGTAGAAGTAGCAAGACGTACCTGTAATCTTGCACATTTATGATTATTATTATTATAATCAAAAAGAAGCGCTAAGCCACAAGGACTATACAGCGCTGACTGCACATTTATGAGACAGACAAAAGACACCAGCAATCCTACCATCATGTAAAACAATTACAGGCTTTCGTTTTACACTCACTTGGCAGGACAGTAGTACCTCCCTGGGTGGTTGCTGTCTACCAACCTACTACTATTGGCAGTTTGGAGGGATATGTTGTGTATCTTTATACGTATATGCTTCTAAACTGTTGTATTCTGAGCACCTCTGCAAAAACAGTGATAATGTGCGAGTGTGGTGAAAGTGTTGAATGATGATGAAAGTATTTTCTTTTTGGGGGATTTTCTTTCTTTTTTGGGTCACCCTGCCTCGGTGGGAGACGGCTGACTTGTTGAAAAAAAAAAAAAATTATTTCTCATTGTTTTCTGTGTGTAAAACTATAGTTATTCTCTATAAAATATATTTTTTGTTAATACTTTTGGGTGTCTCGAATGGATTAATTGGATTTACATTATTTCTTATGGGAAATATTGCTTTATTTTTCGTCGAATTCGGTTTTCATCAGACTTTCTGGAACAAATTAATGATGAAAACCGAGGTTCTACTGTATACTACAACTGCTGCATGCTGATGCTGCTGCAGCTATATTTTTTTATTCATTTGTTTGTTTGCTGACTGATCTTAATGAAGCTTTATATGTCCATGTTTTATGCATTCTTATTCAGTAAAAAAATTAATGAAACTGGACAATAAATAAAAAAATTAAACCTGAAATTGCAACCTCTGAAAACTGCAACCACAGATACGGGATCTCACTGTACTTGGAAAACATGTATACCTGAAGGGTGTTCCAGGGGTCAACACCCCCATGGCCTGGTCATGAGAGTTCTTAAAGAAAATATGCTGCATCCATGGACTTGTTGAAAGCACATTAATAAAGTATAGAAATAGGCAGTGGGACTAGCACATCATTATAGTGTTCAGGAATAACTTGTATGATAGAGAAATTTACAATAGAAGCAATGGCTGTGGGAGTTACTGATGGGATAAAAGATATTCCAAAATACATATGAAGGTACACAAAAAATAGGTAATGTCACTAAAGCTATTTAACACCTTCAAGGTTAGAGCAATGCCAGAAAATGTTGTCTATAAAGTAAGATTAAACCATTCTGGAATTGAAAATTATTTTGATTATTACATGTGTAAGAGGAAGTTGGTAGAATCAGAAGAACAAATAAGCAGAAGTAAGAAATACTTAGGATAGTGTATTTCATATGTAGAACATGATGACAGACAGTAGTAAGTTTGGAAAGTTATATTACACATATTGTATTTTTTTTATATTTTATTAACACATCAGCTGATTCCCACCAAGGCAGGGTGGCCCGAAAAAGAAAAACTTTCATCATTCACTCCATCACTGTCTTGCCAGAGGGGTGCTTTACACTACAGTTATAAAACTGCAACATTAACACCCCTCCTTCTAAGTGTAGACACTGTACTTCCAATCTCCAGGACTCAAGTCCGGCCTGCTGGTTTCCTTGAATCCCTTCATAAATGTTATTTTGCTCACACTCCAACAGCACATCAAGTATTAAAAACCATTTGTCTCCATTCACTCCTATCAAATACGCTCATGCACGCTTGCTGGAAGTCCAAGCCCCTCACACACAAAACATCCTTTACCCCCTTCCTCCAACCCTTCCTAGGCCAACACCTACCCCACCTTCCCTTCACTACAGATTTATACACTCTTGAAGTCATTCTGTTTTGTTCCATTCTCTCTACATGTCTGAACCACCTCAACAGCCCCTCCTCAGCCCTCTGGATAATAGTTTTGGTAATCCCACACCTTCTTCTAATTTCCAAACTACGAATTCTCTGCATTATATTCACACTACACACTGCCCTCAGACATAACATCTCCACTGCCTCCAGCCTTCTCCTTGTTGCAACATTCATCACCCATGCTTCACACCCATACAAGAGTGTTGGTACAACTATCCTCTCATACATTCCCCTTGTTATTGTTTAGTTAATCCACCTGGTACTAATATTTCAGGTGGAGTAAGAGTATTAGACCTATTGCCTTAAGCCAGCATTAATCAAGAACAAGTTATATACTATAAACAGTTTTAAGAAGTAGTGTTGAAATTAAGAAATGTCAAATGATAAATAAGGATATGCTGCGAGTGATTTACTATTATAGCCATGCAGGGAAGAAAAAACAGTGAAGTTACGCAAGTGTTAGAGGAGCACAATATCACAGGGTGGGACATCAAAATATGGTACAAGAATACTGTATGAGAAATAAATTGCCAAATGAAAGGGGTATTGCAAATAATTATGCTAGGAAAATGGCTGATGATTGTGTCCAGTTTAAGTGTTTTCTGGGGGCAGGATTAAAAGAGTGAATGGAAATGTAGGCCTCACCTGACAACAAAACTTAGTGTGCGCAGAAAACAGTGATGTAGCGCTCTAGCAGAGTGGAGAAATCTTTTCACTTCGGTTCACTTTATGTAAGTTGAAGATACATATGAATGGAATAAAGGATTTGACTGCTTTATAAGCTTCATTTCTTATGAGAAAGGAGGCGCAGGTAATGAATTACCATAAATAGTATATGCAATTCACGAATTATAAAATTAGCACATAATGAAAGCTCAAATCTTGTGACTTTGATTTATATAAATTTAACATTGTTCTTTGAATGTTCAAAAGTTTCAAGTACGGCAGCTTAAAAACAAATATGAATGCTACACCACTTTTGCGCTTATCCATTTTAATTTGAGTTTACTTTATTTCTCAACACTAACCTATTATATTCATTCATGTTTGTGCGCTGTTCCATAGTTGATATACGATCTAAAGTTGCTGTCATTTCCAATGTGGCAGTGCGTGAGCGTCCAAGTGAACAACGAGTACTCCTTCTGTCTGCTGTGCCTGATCGTGAAGCACTGCTGTAGGGTCCATCATAAAGGGAGGGATCATCATAAAGTGAACGATCGTGTGAAAGGGAGGAGGAGCGGGAGTCAGATACTGGAGTCTCTTCTTCACCCAATGAGGTGAGAGCTGCAATAACATGTGGAGAATCTTCGATGGTACGGATAACCTGTCAAGTTAATACTGTTTAATAATAAGTCTGCTTTTAGTTTATATATTTATAGTCTTATTATCTACCTATTTATATAAGATACTTTACTTCGTATAATGATGAATTAAAAGTAACAAAAAATGCAACCTAAACATAGTACCAATATCTTAAACATGCTTTCCTTTGACTACCTAGCATGCCACTCATTACTCTGATATACAATTAAACTTTTAGTGAACATCTCAACTTCTACTTAATTGCATTTATACATGTAATGTTAAAATGAAAAGTCATTTGAAATCATTAAATTGAAATAAATAATGCCTGTAGAATACTTAAGACATAAAACAGTTGCAAGCAAATTTATCTTCTTACAACATCACACTAATAATTATAACATTACCATAGAACTTTATAATATACCTGTAAGGTTAGCGGGGCATCAAGATGAATAGGTTCAGAAGCTTCACGATTGTGGATAATAACAGCGATGTGGGCAGGATGGGGTATGGGTGGTGGAATCAGAAGCTTCTCTGGAACTCTGCTTCCATACACTATAAAATAAAATAAGGTTTTAACAAATTTGTCACCAATAATTATTAATTTTTAAGTCAATTCTGTAAATGATAAATCAAATAATGATGAGCAAAGCACCTTTGATATACTTATTTATTTCTTTTAAAAACTAAAGAGTCCACTGAATCTACTTACCTTGTTTTTTTCTACACAAAAAGAGGATGAACTGTAAAAAAAATCTGCCCCCTTCCCCACACACATCTTCATAACTTTCCTTTCACTAACAAGGATATCTGATCATCTTTACAATTTCCCCACAAATCAGGATATCTACAAATCTCTCTAATTTCCCCGTATCAATTCATCTCCATCCTAATAACTTGATTTATTCACTATTCTTCGTTAAATAAATAAAGACAGTAATGTTAACACTGCTGTCTTTTCTCAGATGCTATTTCCATTTTTAATTGTATAATGTTATTGTTGTATTTACAATTTTATTGGATGTGTTTTTACAAAATGTTTCTTCCCTGATATCATTTAAGAGGCATTTTTGCTAATGATAAATCAGTTATTGCAGTTACTTTTTGATGTTCAAAGGACTTTTAAAACCTAGCATTACATAATGATCCAAGCCCATTCTCTAGGCCTCTGAGGATATCTGCTGTTTTTTCTTAGGGATCTCTTTTCAGAGAGGCACTTCTGTGTCCAGGTTTATAATAGCTTTTCCCCTTACCTGGGCAGAAGGTGACCCTCAAGGCTGAGTTCTTTGTACAGGTCGGCCATCACTAATCCGGTTCCATCATTAATCCGGCACTAATTTCAGCTAGCATAATTTCAAATTTCCCAGGTTGCTGCACCAACCTGCCACTACTGTTTGGTGGTGCTACTTGCTGAAAAACATTGATGGCATCACTTGCAAAGACAGGCAATCATTCCAATTTATTTTTCTCCATTTATTGTTATAACCTGCTTACTTTTAGCCCCAGCCATAGGTCCAATGAATAAAGGAAATGTTTCTCATTGTGTAAATTGCAAATGCTGTACATTGTCCATAAAAGATAAGGTTGAACTGGAAAAACTCAACAGTGGTACGTCTGTGAGAAGCTTGTGTGAATTATATAGCATCAGCTCTTCAATGGTAATTCTTCAACAAAATTACCTGTACCACTTATTTTACCTGTGCTTCATTAAAATTTCACTCGATTTTCATTTAATGTTTCTTTTTTCTTTATTAGCGAACTTGTACTAATTTATGGGGTATTTTAAAGGTAGGATGAGGTGGTTAGCTGTTAGGCTAAGTGTATTCTAACTTAACCACTCTGTGATCCAGCAAAATCACTAATCCAGCACCCTATAGGTCCCAATGATGCTGGATTAGTGATAGTCAACCTGTACTACCTTCTTCCTGCTTGCTATTAATGACCTTACCTCTATACTCCCTTCCAATATTTGGTCATCTCTTTATGTCAACAATTTACTATAGCTTCTCTCCAGAATGCTACTGATTGTGCTTACCACTGAGCCACCTCTCATAGGTTTAAGTTTTCTGTTGCTAAAACACATCAACTGACTTTCACAAGATGTCATATTGTCCCTCAGGCTGTTTTATACCTGCATGGTTCCCTGAACAGGATACGGTCAAATTCTCAGTCTCATGTTTAATTGCCAATTGTCCTGGAAGCCTCTCATAACCTTCCAGAAAATTGCATATCATAGCTGCCAGATTCTCCTTAAAAATCTAACCCACCTTTCTTCAGGGGTTATGCTGACAGATGCAACCTTCTTCACCTTCATTCCACTGCCCTCATCTCATCTAAACTTGACTACAGTGACCACCTATGTTCTTCAGCATCCCATATTATTCTTTCTAAACTTGATCCAGTTCATCACCAGGTTTTCTGTTTTTCCCCAGCTGAGAGCCTCTATGCAGAGACGAAGCTTCCTTCTTTATAAGATCAGTGCGATGCCCACTGTCTCTTGTTACTTTGCCCATTTTCATGACCTTCACAATCCTTCCATATATATGACAGTAACAGATGTTACCATACAGGATGGTAATGAATGTTCTTACACCCCTTTTTTCTCCATATCTGTTCTCTCCTTGGCTTCCCCTAATTTATCTCCCATCTATGGACCCCCCTCATCTGACTTTTCTCTCCTTCCTTGGGAAGTCCAAATGATTCATGTATGCTCTTCATCTCTTCTATGTGCAAAAGTTCACTTGATGCTATAACTTCATGCTCACTCTTTCTTTATCATTTCCATTCTCATTCTCATGCCATTGCAGTGTACATTGATGGTTCTAAGTTCCCCAATGGTGATGGAAATGCAGCAGTTTTTCCTGACAAAACCATCAGAGGTTATTCATTAGATTCAGCCAGTGTTTTCACAGCAGTTATATGCAATTTTCATGGCTACTCATGCACACTGCATTGATGTCTACCTTGTCACTCAAAGTTGTAGGACTCTGACAATGTATTACAAGCTATCCAAAAGTTTGACTAACTTATGTCACTACTACTACTACCACTAGTATTGCACCTCACTCTGAGCCTATATATACCCTCTGTGTCCATGTACTGTTTGTAATGGCTTGACAAAGCTCCTGGAGAGCGAAACGTTGCAACAATAAAATGTCACATTAGTTGCACTTGTGTCCTTTTACTTTACATAACCTCATCCTGTCATCCTTTGCATTAAACCTTGGTCACATATTTCCAGTAAAAGCAAAGACGTCAGTTTCAGCTGGTTCCCTGGACATGTCAATATTTGGGGTACTAAACAAGCAAACTTAGTTGGTCAATTAGCTGTTCATGATCTCATTTCCCACAGGGATATTCCTTACCCAGATTATTTTTCAGTGATCTCTCAATAGCTTTACAACCAATGACAACAAGATTGGTCCACAATGAATTGTTTTCTGCAAAACCACATTTAAGTTTCTGGTTATCATCTTCCCTGCTGTCATGTTTGGGAGACTGTACTCTCCAGGCTGTATATGCCTTACTCATGGATATCTCAAAAAAAAAAAATGCCTGCCACAGCTCTGCAAGGACTGTCAGGTTGCATTGTCAAGATGAACATATTAGGTTTTTCAACCTATCAGCAGGCACACACAATTCACATTCATCATCTTCGCCACCCCAACACATTCTCACTGACCTCCTTGCTGAAAGTTCCACCTCTGATGCAGACAATGACTTCTTAACAAAAACTAACTTATTGCACCAACTGTGATTTTACTTTTCCTCTTGCATTTTCCCCTACCCCTTACCCCCACACACTCCCTCATCACCTTCATACATTCTTCCTTTCCCACATCCCTCCCTGCAATGCTGCATGACCTTCGGTTTAGTACCTAATATGTTTGTGAAGCATGGGCTGTAAATACTGCAGAAAGAAGGAGACCAGAGCAGTAGAGATGTCATGTCTAAGGGCAATGTGTGGTGTAAATATTATGTGTGGAAATTTGGAGGTGTGGAGTTACTAAAATTATTAGTCAGAGGGCTGAAGAGAGATTACTGAGGTGGTTTGGTCATTTAGAGAGGATGGAGCAAAATAGGATGATTTGGAGGGTGTATAAATCTGTACTGGAGGAGGGGTAGGGGTCATTCCTAAAAAATGGATGGAGGGAGGGGGTAAAAGAGGTTTTGTGTGCAAGGGGCTTAGACATACAGCAGGCATGCCTGAATCGTGTTAGATAGCAGTGAATGGAGATGAATGGTTTTTGGGACCTGACGAGCTGTTGGAGTGTGAGCAGGGTAATATTTTGTAAAGGGATTTAGGGAAACCAATTAGCCGGACTTGAGTCTTATTGCTGTTTGCAAACATATCACAGTCTTATACTTCCCTGCATACTCAACCGGTAAATAAACAATACAGTACAGGACGAAAATTGTAAAAAATAAAATAATTTTGCTTGAATTAGACTAATCTCAATTCACTGTACGTAATCTTAGTTTTCCTTTCAAAGCATCCATCCTTATTATATATGTTTTATCAGAGAATACAGTAGCATAATTACAGGATTTCCAAACATCATCTTTACCCATTCTTCGTCCAGGATTGAGCCTTAGCGATAGTCGGGCTGCAAGGCTTGCCTTGCCTGTGCGGTGCGTGGGTACACCATGTCGAACAAGAGGAGTGAAGGAGGCCAGGTCCAGGTAAGGAGCATGGACCTAAATAAAAAAAGTTGATTATAATTATTATATATAGTAAACCCTCAATCTAACCAGCTTCTGAAATATGAGACAAAATCTGCTGAGTCAGATGATTGAAGTCTGTTGGTTACAGAACTGTCCATTATTGTTACATTCACAGCAACACTATCTCATCTTTATCACCACAATCTCCATTACCAGCCACCCACTTTTCCCTGTTACTCTATTAAACTGAGGGTTTCCTTTACATACAATGCACACAGGTCAGGGTTATGTTTCACAATACAGCCTCTCCTCACTTAACGACGGAGTTCCATTCCTCATACCTTGTCGATAAACAAATTCGTCACTAAACGAGGAGCATACTATAATGGTATGGGGTTTATGTCAACCATCTTTGATATTGCTTTAATGTAACCCTTGCACCATTTATAACATTTTTAGTATATTTTTAAATGTTTATACAGTAGTGTATTGTATACTGTAATAAACAGAATAAAGGAAATCACCTCTAATATACATTATTTAGGTATGCATACTGGTCAGAGAGCCATCGTAAGTCTGAGCCGTTGGTAAACAAGTAAGTCGCTAAGTGAGGAGATGCTGTACTTCAAATTCATTTTGTTATAATTCCATCACTCAATGAAAACAAAAGAGAAAGATTTCTACACATACCTGGATATTACCACGAGGTGTATGGACAGTTAATTTCTCATCTAAGTCAGGTCGATCCAGCATGCAGCGTGTCATCTCTGTGTATCGTGATAAGCTTACACCATGTACCTATAAAATGAAAGAATTTACACTATACAGTACCTACATGTCTTTTTGTACAAGTGAATGTTTTTTATGGTGGCACAATATCTTTCCTAATACAGACTGTTGGATCACATATCTATATAACAGTCTGAACAATGACTCTTCAATATTTACATTTTATTCATAATTATTTCCTGAGAGCTTCTCTGGTGACTTCTGGCAACTCCTCTATCATTGGGGTGTTCTCAGTACCAGTTTCTATCACCACCAGTAGCTTTCACTGACTGAGTGGAGACAGTCACATTTTGAGTAGCCAGAATGCTGTTTTATCCTATTTAATCTCAGCAACTTTTAGTCCCACTATTTTCTATAGAAATTCTTAAGAGATTGTTAGGACTGAACTCAGTGTTGAGGAAAAATCCCACATGCTTGTGTAAGCACAGGAAAGAAATGTGTGTCCACAAACTAAGTTTTGTGATTGAAATGGTCATGGAATATTCAGCACTGTCTATTGTTGCCTCTGATGATCTGACCCCTAACACCATTTTTCCTTAAGAAACTAAGACCTGGACTGGTTAGAGGGACCTCAGCTGCTATTGATAAGCATCTAGGGAGAGACATATTGAAAGATTTTTTGGATAACAGCAGCAACTAAAGAACCATCCAGATTTACTGGGGCACTTATTACAAAGAACTATAAAGTATCATTTCCAGAAGAAGCCTGAGATGCCATATCGAACTCCTGCCAAGAAACCTCTTCTAACTAAACAATCCCAGTTTGTAAAACAATGTGAACACTGGAATACTGAAGACCAAATTAAAGTTATGTGGAGCAATAAGTCCTTCTTTAAATGTGTGTCTGCATGCTGAGGACAAGTCAAATGCCCATCTGTAGAACTCTTATTCCCCCAGTTACAACCATGAAACACTTTGATATGGGGTTACTTTAGTAGATTAAAGGGGAAAGGGGATTATATTTCCTGTCCAAAAATCACAACAATGAATGGAGCTCATTATGCAGATGTGTTTAAGGAGTCTCCTCATTCTGCAAGATTCATTGCACCCCCCCCCCCCCCCACACCCACACACACACACCCACACCCACACCCACACCCACACCCACACACACATGTAAATGGTATACAAAACTCTGTATACCATTTACGTCAGGCCCATACTGGAGTATGCAGCACCAGTTTGGAATCCACACCTAGTCAAGCACGTCAAGAAATTAGAGAAAGTGCAAAGGTTTGCAACAAGACTAGTCCCAGAGCTACGGGGATTGTCCTACGAAGAAAGGTTGAGGGAAATCGGCCTGACGACACTGAAGGACAGGAGAGTCAGGGGAGACATGACAACGACATATAAAATACTGCGCGGAATAGACAAGGTGGACAAAGACGGGATGTTCCAGAGATGGGACACAGACACAAGAGGTCACAATTGGAAGTTGAAGACTCAGATGAATCAAAGGGATGTTAGGAAGTATTTCTTCAGCCACAGAGTAGTCAGGAAGTGGAATAGTTTGGGAAGCGATGTAGTGGAGGCAGGATCCATACATAGCTTTAAGCAGAGGTACGATAAAGCTCATGGTTCAGGGAGAGTGACCTAGTAGCGACCAGTGAAGAGGCGGGGCCAGGAGCTTGGACTCGACCCCTGCAACCTCAACTAGGTGAGTACACACACAGACACACACACACACACATACACACACACACACACACACACACACACACACACACACACACACACACACACACACACACACACACACACACACACACACACACACACACCACCCACAACCCACACACCCACCCACCCACCCACCCACCCACACCCTCACACACACACGCACTCTTACTTTATACAAGATGGTGCCCTGTGACACACGTTGCAACAGATCAAGAAATAGTTGCAGCAGAAAAATAACATTCAAAAATAATTATTAGAATGAAATGAAAGCAAAGTTCCATTCCAAAAACACATCATCAGTGACACACTTGGCCAATATAAAAGAAAAAATCTAGGTTCAGGAAAGCAACTTGACTTACTTTAAAAACTTTCTGATTCTATACCTAACTACCTGAAACTGGTAATCAAATAACATGGCAACTTGACCAAATATTTAAGAGTAATTGTTACTAGAAATTCTTTTGCAATTTGATGCTGGCCCAACATCATTTGTGGAGTCTATATTCACTTTTAAGATATGTGTAAAGCTATTAATTTCCCAAACTGTGTTTTGTAGCTACCATAGCAGAACTCTTTATATTGCACCATCTTCTGCCTAATTTATTGTAAAATCATCAGTGTTTAATGTATCATATAATTTTTTTAATCTTCACTAATTTTACCACTTACTACTGCCTCTTGTAGCTTATTCTATTGTTCTACCACTAGGAAGAAAGACTTTCCTTTATTGTATTTTTTGACATTGTTTCCAGTGGTGGGCACAGTTCCGCTAACCGCTAATTAAGAGAACTATCTTTTTGTTTAGCGGATTAGTGTTTCTGCTAACTTTGGAAACCATTAGTGGACCAATTAGCTTCTGCTAAATAAAGTCCCGCTAACTTTGAGTCCGCTAAAAAAAAATCATAGGTTGTTGGTAGTCAGAAAGCAATGCTTGTCAACGGTGCACGTGTTTGTTCCTGTCTGTTGTGGGCGTTTCTCCAACAGTCAGTCAGGCACACTATTGGCTGACTACATGTAAACGTGACTTGTCAACGCAGTAGCATCTGAGCAGCATTGGTATAGTCCTCCATACCCCTCGCCCTCAATCAGACAATACCATCTTAGGAGATATATCTCTTGTTTTGAAAGTTCTCATTATACAAGCTGTCATTATTCTGCCATTTGCTGTATTTGTTTTATTGTGATCTCTGACATTATTTTTCCTAATTTTGTACTTGTCTCTTAATATTCTAGTAAGTTTATTCAGGTATACACAAATACAGTTACATAGATTATCATACATAGCAGCATATATGTAGAGAACCTAGGATAACCCAAAAAAGTTAGACAAAATGACTTATTTCCATTGGGGTTCTTTTAATACCTTATCATTATACTATAAAGGAGATAATATCTTATTATTATTCAAATTCAAATTCAAATTCAAAGTTTATTCTCTATAAAGATTACAATGTTGAATTTACAGAATTTGGTTGTTGTGTGGTTTACATGTAGTTAAATAATGATTACAGAGTGTACCACTAGAACGCCTAGCATGGCTAGGCATTTCGGGCAGACTTAGTTTAATTCTCTATTTTAAAATATTACAAATTATGAGGTAAGTTGGTATTATGGCTAAGTGACTAAATACTAGTTTGTGAGTTTAGCAATGTGAATGCTTTTGTTTTGGCACAGTACATAGTTTCAGTATTGGAGTATCATAGGATTCATTATTTTAAGATTGAGATTAATATTTCTGTTTATGGTCAAATGGGTGAGTGAGTGTAAGTGTGAACCACCAGGTGGTATTCGTGTAGTTAGTTGATGGGGTTTATCAGGGAGATAAGATGTTTTCTAATGGTAGTTTTGAAGGTGATGAATGTGTCTGCAGTTCTAGAGTTCTCAGGCAGGGTGTTCCAGATTTTAGGGCCTTTGACATACATTGAATTTTTGTAAAGGTTTAGTCGGACATGGGGAATGTCGTAGAGATGTTTGTGTCTGGTGTTATGCCTGTGGGTTCTGTCACAACTATCAAGAAAGCATTTTAGGTCAAGGTTGATATTGGAGTTTAAGGTCCTGTAGATGTAGATTGCACAGTAGTAAGTGTGGATGTACTGAACAGGGAGTAAGTTTAGATCTATGAAGAGTGGGGGGGTGTGTTGCCAGGGATGGGATTTTAGTGATTATTCTTACTGCAGCTTTTTGTTGGGTTATTATTGGCTTTAGGTGTGTTGCTGCAGTTGATCCCCAAGCACAAATAGCATAGGTGAGGTATGGATAAATAAGTGAGTGGTATAGTGTGAGAAGGGCATTTTGCGGCACGTAGTATCGTATCTTGGAGAGGATCCCAACTGTTTTGGATACTTTTTTGGTTATGTGTTGGATATGGGTGCTGAAATTCAGGTTGTTGTCGAGGTATAGGCCTAGGAATTTGCCCTCATTATGTCTGGTAATTAGAGTGTTGTCGATCTTAATGTTAATTTGTGCATCTCCTGCTCTGCTACCAAACATAATATAGTAGGTTTTGTCAGTGTTAAGCGCAAGTTTATTGGCTGTCATCCAAGTCGATATTTTGATCAGCTCCTCGTTAACAATGGTGTTGAGGGTGGCAAGATTAGGGTGAGAGATGACGTAAGTCGTGTCGTCAGCAAAGAGAATGGGTTTCAGGTGTTGGGATACGTTTGGAAGATCATTGATGTATATGAGGAAGAGCAGGGGACCAAGGACACTTCCCTGCGGAACTCCAGTATCAAGTGGCCGTGTTGTTGATGCTGTGTCTTTAATGGTAACATACTGATACCTATTAGTAAGGTAAGATTTGAAATAAGCAAGCGCATGGCCTCTTATACTGTAATGGACAAGTTTGTGGAGTAGGATGTCGTGGTCTACCGTGTCAAAAGCTTTTCTTAGGTCAATAAAAATTCCTAGTGGATATTCCTTATTTTCCAATGCTGTGTAAAGCAGATCTAGCATTTTTATGATTGCATCATTAGTGCTTTTATTTTTCCTAAATCCAAATTGGCAGGGGTTGAGTATGTTTTGTGCTGTTATACTATAAAGGATATACAGTAGACAGTCGTTTAACACGGTTTTGTCTTGCACATTTGGTTATAGCACAATTGAAGAATTGCGGCATATTTTTGTTTAACACTTCGTAAAATTAGTTTAACACGGTTGCGGGAGGGGAAAAAATTTTGAGCGCATGGTCACCTGCCAGGCAGGATGGTCTGTGGGTTACACCATTGAGTCAGTGATGATACTCGGGAAGCTTGCTGTGTTTATTTTATACATACTTTCTTATTTTCATTGCCATCTGTTAAATCTGCCAAGCAATCATGGTACCCAGTAAGCATACAAGTGTTTCCGCAAGTGACAAGAAAAGGTTTAAGCGTTCAAGTCTAGGAATTACGAAGAAAATCGAGATATGTATTAGATAAGCTTAAGAGTGGCTCATGTGGTGGATATAGTGAGGGCTTATGGCCTTAATGAAGCGTCAGTTCGAACAGTTAAAAAGAACAAGGCGAATAACACACTGACTTGACCGAATGACTTACTGACTTGACTGAATGACTTACTGACTTGACTGAATAACTTACAGACATGACTGAATGATTTACTGACCTGACTGAATGACTTACTGACTTACTGAAAAAGAGTGTATGTTTAGCACATAGCGTGTAATGTTTTCTGTAATGGTTGTGGTCACTTTTTCTTTTATCCCTTCCCGCCCTCCAACCTTCAATACCTGTTTATAATTTCGTATTTTTATTAATTTAGGCATCTTTTTCATGCTTCTACATTATTTGTTATACCTAATATTAATTCAGGAATAAATATGATAGGTAGATAATTTATTTATCCATGGGGAAGTGGAACAGAATTTTTCCTCCGTAAGCCATGCATGTCGTAAGAGGCGACTAAAATGCCGGGAGCAAGGGGCTAGTAACCCCTTCTCCTGTATATATTACTAAATTTAAAAGAAGAAACTTTCGTTTTTTCTTTTGGGCCACCCCACCTCGGTGGGATACGGCTGGTACGTTGAAAGAAAAGAAGAAAGATAACTTATTGATATTAATAGTATTATTATACAATATTTTATAGCGCTGTGAGCCCACACCTCCACATGCCATGGTGGTCCATGAGTTACTGAGAGAGACTGCTCATGCCTTCTCCCTCTATCATAGCCCCGCCCACCCTTCAATACCTCTCTATATAATGTCAGTGCCTCTTTATCAAGCTTCTACATTATTGAAGTTATACCTAGTACAGTGGACCCCCGCATAGCGAACTTAATCCGTGCAAGAGGGCTGGTCGTTATGCGAAATGTTCGCTATGCGAATTAATTTTCCCCATAAGAAATAATGGAAATAAAATTAATCCGTGCAAGACACCCAAAAGTATGAAAAAAAATTTTTTTTACCACAAAAAAATGTTAATTTTAGTACACACAAACTGAAAAAGGCATGCACAATTACATGACACTTACTTTTATTGAAGATCTGGTGATGATTGATGGGATGGGAGGAGGGGAGAGAGAGTGTTAGTGTTTAGAAGGGGAATCCCCTTCCATTAGGACTTGAGGTAGCAAGTCCTTTTCCGGGGTTACTTCCCTTCTTCTTTTAATGCCACTAGGACCAGCTTGAGAGTCACTGGACCTCTGTCGCACAACAAATCTGTCCATAGAGCTCTGTACCTCCCGTTCCTTTACGATTTGTCTAAAATGGGCCACAACATTGTCATTGAAATAGTCACCAGCACGGCTTGCAACAGCTGTGTCAGGGTGATTTTCATCCATAAAGGTTTGCAGTTCAACCCACTGTGCACACATTTCCTTAATTTTTGAAGTAGGCACAATGGATTCCACAACTGGCATAGGCTTCTCAGGGTTAGCCCCAAACCCTTCAAAATCTTTCTTAATTTCCATACTAATTCTCACCCTTTTTACCACAGGGTTGGCACTAGAAGCTTTCTTGGGCCCATGGTCACTTATTTTCCAGAAACAGCACCGAAAACACTGTAATAATACGAAATATTCCGAGTGTATGCTTGAATGTTACCGCGGAGGCTGGCTGGTAAACAATGGGACGGGCGGCACATGTGAGGCTGGCTGAGGCCGCACATTGGACGCGTCTCGGACGAAGGTCGCTGAGCGGGTTTTTGTCCACTATGCGGGGCAAAATTTTAGCGAACAAAGCGTTCGCTATGCGGATTGTTCGCTATGCAATGCGTTCGCTATGCGGGGGTCCACTGTATTATATTTTGGAATAAATATGACAGGTAGATAACTTATTGATAGTAATAGTATTATTATACAATATTTTATAGTCCCGTGAGCTCACACCTCCATACGCCGTGATGGTTCATGAGTTACTGAGAGAGAGTGCTCGTGCCTCGTGCCTTCACCATCTCATAGCCCCGCCTACCTTCCTCTATATGTCAAGTTTTTATTAATTTGTGCATCTTTATCATGCTTCTACTTTATTTATGTTATACCTAATATTATTCTGGAATAAATATGATAGGTAGATATTATTTATTGATAGTATAATTATACAATAACAAATTTAGAAGCAGTGCTTTGAAACTGGGTTTAGGCCAGCTGATGATGCCTTACCGTCAGCTGTATAATATACTGCAGGGTAAAAGAGCTCAGAGATCCATTATAGAATTTATGCACACTCCAATACAACCATCGACTTCAGTACCAGAACCTCTACCATTCACTTCTGCTGACAACCAACAGCCATCCACCTCACCCCAGTAGGGCGACACCATCTATTTCCATTCTCTTCACAATCATCCACAAACACCATTACCCACAATTTAAGATAAGAAATACTATTATTTCTATTGCATTTGTAGTCTTAAGCAGTAATACATCACGACAATGCACTACAATTACATATTCACTTTTATTTTGTAAGATCTGGAGGTCTAAAAAAAAGTTGTTTGGCTTTTTAGGGGCTCCCAGGAATGTAACCCTATTTTGTCTAACACGGCATTTTCAGGAACGTAACTTCCATGTTAAACGACGGTCTACTGTATACTAGGAATATGGTAAAATGAGTTATTTACATTTACATGTGTTAGTTGAAAAAATAAATCATTCTCCTCCCTTTCTGCCCTACATTCATTTGGTACCTTATGGCCCTCGAACTGCTTCATGCTATGACTAGCTTTGACATGTGCAGGCAGTCTGTTCCATGTCTTTATTGCTGTACAATAAAAGGTTTTTGAAGCCTGGCCACTGACTGTGGGTACTACAAAGTTGTGTTCCCTTCCCCAACTACTATGATTGCTTTGGTTCTCAGCCTTGACAAAACTGGCAGCAAGATATTCTGAACACTGTTTGTGAGCAATTTTATAAACTTGATTTAACTTCAATTGTTTTACTCTGTCTTCAACATTCAGCATATCCAATTATTGTAATTCATCCTGGCCTACATGTTCTCTTGAACTCAGGCCTACATGTACTCTTGGACCCAGGCTTACATACTCTCTTGGACCCAGATCCAAGATGAATCTTACCATTTTATTCTAGGTGATTTGTAGTCTAGCTTTCAGTTTTTTTGTCAAGGCAGAGTACCATGAAGAGCAAGTGTAGTCCATATGACATTGTATAAGGGCTAGACATAGGGTCCTGTGAGCCTCAGTAGGTAGACATTGTGCCTCAGTCGGTAAACACTGTGCCTCAGTCGGTAAACACTGTGCCTCAGTAGGTAGATACTGTGTCTCAGTAGGTAGACACTGTGCCTCAGTAGGCAGATACTGTGCCTCAGTAGGTAGATACTGTGCCTCAGTAGGTAGACATTGTGATTCATTAGATAAACACTGTGTCTCAGCAGGTAGACACTGTGCTTGTCTGTAGAGGAACTTTAGTCTGGCATTCGCTTTCTTTACTACGCTGTTCCCTATCAATTTTCCTGAAATGCATGGGTCAAAGGGGATTCCCAGATATCTTACTGAGGAAACTAAAGTGATGGGTTCCCCATTACACAGGACATTAAAATTATTTGCCCTTATCAGTTTACTTTTCATGACAAAGAGTATGACTTCCGTTTTCCCGAGGTGTAACGATAGTTTGTTGTCTACTAACCATTTGCTGCAGGACTCCAGCTCTATATCTTGTGGGTCTTTACCTGACACTAACAAAGCACTGTCATCCGCATACAGTAGGAGTTTACACTTGACATTGATGGTCATGTCGTTTAAAAGTAAAAGACCAAAAAACTAAGCCGAATCTGAATTCATGTGAAAAAGTTAGCAGTTAGCATTTAGCATTAGCGTCCGCTATTTTTTTTGGCTGTTTAGTGGTTTAGGATTAACGGAGCTAATTTTTTAGTTAGCAGATTAGCAGTTAGCAAAGCTAACTTTTCAGTTAGCTGTGCCCACCACTATTTATAACTATGAATATCTATTTCTGGTATTTCTTTTTTTACATAAACTATAATTAGCATATCTTTTCTCTTTCTCCTATCCTATGAACCAATAAAGGCATTTTTTTTATGCTTTCAGCTTTTCTTCATAACATATATTTTAATGCTCTTGGAGTTACTTAGCTTGTCTAAAGACATTTTCTATCTTGTACACTTTTTTTGAAGGTGAAGTCATTATTATTGCCAATGTATATATTCTAATTTTGAATTAACATATACAGTGGACCCCCGGTTTACGATATTTCATTCCAGAAGTATGTTCAGGTGCCAGCACTGAACGAATTTGTTCCCATAAGGAATATTGTGAATTAGATTAGACCCCCAAACATACACGTACAAACGCACTTACATAAATACACTTACATAATTGGTCGCATTGGGAGCTGATCGTAAAGCGAGGGTCCACTGTACATGATACCCTTCTATGATTTCTTTAAGTGTGAAACAGATAAAAAACTTAAACTGTTGTCAATAGAATTAAAAAAAATTGCACTTAATAAAGTCAATGCTGTTCACTGCTAGAAAAAAGATTTAATGAACTCCAAAATTATCACTCACCTCCATTTGGAAACTTGTGTCTGACTCTTCCATTGGTGTCAAGAAATCTGAACTGAAGATTTCTGTAAACATTAATGAAGCCAGGCCTCCATAATCACCTGTAAGTAAAAAAAAAATGATGACTATCAGTTCATATTATTGCCCTCAACAATAAATTTTGGTAATGTCTTGTTGAGTGAAAGTGGAACAAGTCAATTTGTTTTTCCTTAATGGCCATCTCCCACAATGGCAGGGTGACCCAAAAAAGGAAAACACATTCACCATTATTCTGAATTATAATTGTTATGTTCCTTCTGTATCTGCAAGAGATGTTCTCTTTCACAAACTTGAAGATAATGCATTCACAGATACTGAACTTATATTTCAATGTGAAAAGGAAGCAACATATTTTGTATCTGTGCCCCAATGCTCAGATACTGTATTAGTCAAACATTTAGTATAAGTCTGGGTCAGTTATGATACAAACAGGTTGTGTAACAAAAATATGATACACCCTATAAGCAGGTGAAGTAACAGCGTGTAAAGTCATAGATCTGGAAGCAAAGTTCATGAACATTACTATAATATTGCATGAAAAACACAGATTCATCAACTTAACTTAACTTAACTTAAGTCATAACTCAACTTAACTTAAGTCATAATGCTGGGAATCAAGTTTGTAGATGCTATATCATATAAAGACCATCATGAATCAACAAAACAGCTTATAAATAACAGGTAATAAGACATTATGTAGCACCCAGATCAACAGAAATGAGTGTGTAGAACTCATTTATGCTGAGGGAGTACAGTAAATAGTATAGTACTGTACCATATTTTAAAAAAGTTCTTTGTGATACTACCTGGACTTTGCTTGAAGAGGGTTTCAGGGGTCAATGCCCCCGCGGCCTGGTCTGAGACCAGGCCTCGTGGTGGATCAGGGTCTGATCAACTAGTCTGTTACTGCTGGCTGCATGCAAGCTGACGTATGAACCACAGCCTGGTTGGTCAGTTACTGACTTTAGGTGCCTGTTCAGTGCCTTCTTGAAGACAGCCAGGGGTCTATTGGTAATTCCCCTTATGTATGCTGGGAGGCAACTGAACAGTCTTGGGCCCCGGACACTTACTGTGTTGTCTCTCAATGTATTCATGGCGCCCCTGCTTTTCATTGGGGGAATGTTGCATCTTCTGCCGAGTCTTTTGCTTTCATAGGGAGTGATTTTCGTGTGCAGGTTTGGTGCCAATCCCTCCAGGACCTTCCAAGTGTATATTATCATGTATCTCTCTCGCCTGTGTTTGAGGAAATACAGATCAACGACCTTCAACCATTCCCAGTAGTTTAGGTGCATTATTGTACTTAAGTGTGCCATGAACGTTCTTTGTACACTCTCCAGGTCTGCAATGTTGCCAGCCTTGAAGGGGGCCGTTAGTGTACAGCAGTATTCCAGCCTAGAGAGCACAAGTGATTTGAAGAGAATCATTATGGGCCTGGCATCCCTAGTTTTGAAGGTTCTCATCATCCATCCTATCATTTTCCTAGCACATGAGATAGATACATTCTTGTGGTCTTTGAAGGCGAGATCCTCTGACATTATCACTCCCAGGTCTGTCACATTATTTTTCCGCTCTATTGTATGGTTAGAATTTGTCATATACCCTGATACATTTTTAATTTCTTCAAGTTTCCCATATCTAAGTAGTTGAAATTTCTCCTCACTGAACTTCATATTGTTTAGAGTGGCCCATTTACACTGTTTACTACTACTCTGTGTGTTCTATTTGTCAGGAAGTTGTAGATCCATCTACCAACTTTTCCCATTATTCCTTTATCACGCATTTTGTGTGCTATTACACCATGGTCACACTTGTCAACAGCTTTTGCAAAGTCTGTATATACTATATTTGTATTTTGTTTATCCTCTAAAGCATCCAGGACCCTGTCATAGTGGTCCAGTAGCTGGGACATGCAGGAGCAACCTGCTCTAAACCCGTGTTGCCCTGGGTTGTGTAACTGATGGGAATCTAGATGGTTGGCGATCTTGCTTCTTAGAACCCTCTCAAAGATTTTTATGATATGGGATGTTAGTGCTATCGGTCTGTAGTTCTTTGCAATTGCTTTACTGCCACCTTTGTGGAGTGGGGCTATATCTGTTGTTTTTAGTGTGTGGGGGATGACCCCTGTGTCCATGCTCCCTCTCCATAAAATGCTGAAGGCACGTGATAGGGGCTTCTTGCAATTCTTGATGAACAAGGAGTTCCATGAGTCTGGGCCTGGGGCAGAGTGCATGGGCATGTCATTTATTGCCTCTTCAAAGTCTTGTTGAGTTAGAATAATATCCGAGATTTTTGAGATGACCAAATTTTGGGTTTCGTTCATAAAGAATTAATTTGGATTTGGGACTCAAGTATCTCACTCATTTCTACTGTACACTCTCAAAATAATTTTCCCATATCAACATACGTGTACTTTGATATCATTGGTGCTAATTTGAACATCTACTGAAATTATATTCAAATTAAAGTGCTAAAGAAGTGGAATAACATATTAGATGAATTAAAAACTTTCAGCCAGACTTGAGTCCTGGAAATGGGAAGTACATGTACAATGATCGTACTTTAAAGGAGGGGTTTGGGATACTGGCAGTTTGGAGGGACATCTAGACTGTGATATCTGAGCGCCTCTGCAAAGACAGTGATTATCTATCAGTGATGGTGAAAGTGTTGAATGATGATGAAAGTTTTTTTTTCTTTTTGGGGTTTTCATTCTTTTTGGGTCAAACTGCCTCAGTGGGAAATGGCCGACATTAAAAAAAAAAAAATCATAAATCCATCTGATGCAAGTTGAGGTATATGAGGTGCTATCAAAAAGTTCTTTAACTCAAATTTTGGACACACTTCCTGGGAGAAATATGATGGCAGTGTTAATCATGCAATGCAGTATACTCCTTTGTAAAGCAGCATGGTGAGTAACAGTGCAGTTGATCATTCCATCAAGGATAGACAGGCATTTTATACTGTGTCAGAATGTTGTTGCAATCTTTTGTGTAACAGAATGGAATTTTTGAAACAACAGTGTATGTATGTATCTTTATTTCTACAAGTACATGTACAAGGTACACAGGCCTAGCTGACATCAATGTCATACTACTATAATGCTACTACTGTAATGCTTCAAAACTGTAATGTTCAAATTTCTTTATTCTAAATGCTCAATTGTACTTCATATTGTAAATTGTCCTATTGTAATACTGTAATTTTTATAAAATAATTGAAAACTGCAATTATTCAATACTAAACTTCTCTACTAGGCCTATTTAAAGCCTATTACCTATTAATACTCAAATTTCTTGTCCTCACTATAATTCACCTAATGACCATTTAATCTGTTACAGCCTAATTAATCTTAAGTTAATTTTAAGTTTGCCTGAAATGCTCCGCATATAAGGGGCTTTTGGTATGTACACTCAGCTATTATATTCCTTTGTACAACTATGTAACATGTCAAAAATATTATTATTATTATTGTTATTATTATTATTATTATAATTATTATTATTATTATTATATAGAAAGCCACTTGTTATGCAGAGCATTTCAGGAAAATTAGGTCAGGATGCGACCCACACCAATCGACTAACACCCAGGTACCCATTTTATATTGATGGGTGAACATGGACAGCAGGTGTCTTAAAGGCAACACATCCTAATGTTTTCCTGCCATACCAGAGATTCGAACTCCAGACCTCAGTGTGTGAGCTGAGTGTGCTAGCGGTCGAGCTACAGGACACCTCTAGTGTGTGTGTGTGTGTGTGTGTGTGTGTGTGTGTGTGTGTGTGTGTGTGTGTGTGTGTGTGTGTGTGTGTGTGTGTGTGTGTGTGTGTGTGTGTGTGTGTGCGCGCGCGCGCACTCACCTATTTGTACTCACCTATTTGTGGTTGCAGGGTCGATTCATAGCTCCTGGCCCCACCTCTTCGCTGATTGCGAAGAGGTGGGGCCAGGAGCTATGACTCGATATGAGGTATGATAAAGCCCCATGAGCTTTATCATACCTCGCCTTAAAACTATGTATGGTTCCCGCCTCCACTACGTCACTTTCTAGGCTATTCCATGGCCTGACTACTCTACGACTGAAGAAATACTTCCTAACATCCCTTTGATTCATCTGAGTCTTCAACTTCCAATTGTGACCTCTTGTGTCCGTGTCCCATCTCTGGAACATCCCGTCTTTGTCCACCTTGTCTATTCCGCGCAGTATTTTATATGTCGTTATCATGTCTCCCCTGACCCTCCTGTCCTCCAGTGTCGTCAGGCCGATTTCCCTCAACCTTTCTTCATAGGACAATCCCCGTAGCTCTGGGACTAGTCTTGTTGCAAACCTTTGCACTTTCTCTAATTTCTTGACGTGCTTGACTAGGTGTGGATTCCAAACTGGTGCTGCATACTCCAGTATGGGCCTGACGTAAATGGTATACAGAGTCTTGAACGAATCCTTACTGAGGTATCGGAACGCTATCCGTAGGTTTGCCAGGCGCCCGTATGCTGCAGCAGTTATCTGATTGATGTGCGCCTCAGGAGATATGCTCGGTGTTATACTCACCCCCAGATCTTTTTCCTTGAGTGAGGTTTGCAGTCTTTGGCCATCTAAACTATATTGTGTCTGCGGTCTTCTTTGCCCTTCCCCAATCTTCATGACTTTGCATTTGGCAGGGTTAAACTCAAGGAACCAGTTGCTGGACCAGGCTTGTAGCCTGTCCAGGTCTCTTTGTAGCCCTGCCTGATCCTCATCCGATTTGATTCTTCTCATTAACTTCACATCATCTGCAAACAAGGACACTTCTGAGTCTATCCCTTCTGTTATGTCGTTCACATGTACCAAGAACAGCACAGGTCCTAGGACTAACCCCTGTGGAACCCCGCTTGTCACAGGCGCCCACTCTGACACCTCATCATGTACCATGACTCGTTGTTGCCTCCCTGTCAGGTATTCTCTGATCCATTGCAGTGCCTTTCCTGTTATGTGTGCCTGATCCTCTAGCTTTTGCAGTAACCTCTTGTGAGGAACTGTGTCGAAGGCCTTCTTGCAGTCCAAAAAAATGCAGTCAATCCACCCCTCTCTCTC